ACAGCTACAAAACCATGTTAGGATACATGGCTAATAACGCCCGTTAAAGATACACAGCTACTAACCACTGTTAGGATACACAGCTACAAAACCATGTTAGGATACATGGCTAATAACGCCCGTTAAAGATACACAGCTACTAACCACTGTTAGGATACACAGCTACAAAACCATGTTAGGATACATGGCTACTAACGCCCGTTAAAGATACACAGCTACTAACCACTGTTGGGATACACAGCTACAAAACCATGTTAGGATACATGATAACTAACGCCCGTTAAAGATACACAGCTACTAACCACTGTTAAAGATACACAGCTACTAACCACTGTTAGGATACACAGCTACTAACCCCAGTTAAAGATACACAGCTACTAACCACTGTTAGGATACAAAGCTACTAACCCCAGTTAAAGATACACAGCTACTAACCACTGTTAGGATACACAGCTACAAAACCATGTTAGGATACATGGCTAATAACGCCCGTTAAAGATACACAGCTACTAACCACTGTTGGGATACACAGCTACAAAACCATGTTAGGATACATGGCTACTAACGCCCGTTAAAGATACACAGCTACTAACCACTGTTAGGATACATGACTACTAACGCCCGTTAAAGATACACAGCTACTAACCACTGTTAGGATACACAACTACAAAACCGTGTTAGGATACATGGCTATTGACACCCGTTAAAGATACACAGCTACTAACCACTGTTAGGATACACGGCTACAAAACATAGCTACTAACACCCGTTAAAGACTCATAACTACTAACCACTGTTAGGATACACAGCTATTAACCACTGTTACGATACACAACTACTACAAAACCATGTTAATATACACAGCTACAAAATCATGTTAAAATACACAGCTACAAAATCATGTTAAGATACACAGTTACTAACACCATGTTAAGATACACAGCTACTAACACCATGTTAAGATACACAGCTATAAAACCATGTTGAAATACACAGCTATAAAATCATGTTAAGATACACAGCTACAAAACCATGTTAAGATACACAGCTACAAGCCCCAGTTAAAGATACACACCTACTAACCACTGTTACGATACACAGCTACAAAACCATGTTAGAATACATGGCTACAAAACATGGTTACTAACACCCGTTAAAGATACACAGCTACTAACTATTGTTACGATAGAGAGCTACTAACCACTGTTAGGATACACAGCTACTAACACCCGTTAAAGATACACAGCTATAAAACCAAGTTAAGATACACAGTTATTAAAACCATGTTAAGATACACAAATACAAAACCATGTTACGATACACAGCTACAAAATCATGTTAAGATACACAGTTACAAACACCATGTTAAGATACACAACTACTACAAAACCATGTTAAGATACACAGCTACTAACACCATGTTAAGATACACAGCTACAAAATCATGTTAAGATAAACAGCTACTAACACCATGTTAAGATACACATCTACAAAATCATGTTAAGATACACAGTTACTAACACCATGTTAAGATACACACCTATTAACACCATGTTAAGATACACAGCTACTAACCACTGTTACGATACACAACTACTACAAAACCATGTTAATATACACAGCTACAAAACCATGTTAAAATACACAGCTACAAAACCATGTTAAGATACACAACTACAAACACCATGTTAAGATACACAGCTACAAAACCGTGTTAAAATACACAGCTAAAAACTATATTAAGATACACAGTTACAAAATCATGATAAGATACACAGCTACAAAACCATGATAGAATACACAGCTACAAACACCATGTTATGATACACATCTACAAACACCATGTTAAGATACATGGCTACAAAACCATGTTAAGATACACAGCTAAAAACTATATTAAGATACACAGCTAGAGAACCATGTTAAGATACACAGCTACAAAACCATGTTAAGATACACAGTTACTAACACCATGTTAAGATACACACCTATTAACACCATGTTAAGATACACAGCTACAAAACCATGTTAAGATAAACAGTTACAAAACCATGTTAAGATACATAGCTACAAACCCCACTGATATTCTTTTGGACTGTCAAGTGACTATGAAGTCGACCTCCTTCTTCATTCCCCAAAACTTCTTCCAGTCGAGAACGGGTAAATTTATACATCATCTTTCCTGTCATGTCACGAAACAAGTTTCTGATTCTATAGAGACAAACAGCGGAATCATTAAGTTAATAGGTTCATTAAGATTACACTTAGATATAGATAGTAACATAACTTAATTCTAGCACCGCTAGTTTCCTTATTGCTAACAATGATCTGTTGTCCCACATTCTAACAATTTTGCATGTCATACTTCTAACAATGCTACTTGCCATACAGCTTACAATGCTCTCTTGTCCCACTTTCAAACAATGTCACATGCCTCAGTTCTAGTACTACTACCTGCCTTATTTCTTATTTCTTGTTCCACTTTCAAACATTGTTACATGCCTTAATTCTAGTACTACTACTTGCCATATAGCTAACAATGCTCACTTGTCCTACTTTCTAACAATGTCACATGCCTCAGTTCTAGTACTACTACCTGCCTTATTTCTTATTTCTTGTCCCACTTTCAAACATTGTTACATGCCTTAATTCTAGTACTACTACTACTTGCCATATAGCTAACAATGCTCACTTGTCCCACTTTCTAAGAATGTTACATGTAATACTTCTAACACTGCTCCTTGCCTCATTTCTAACAATGCTCTTTTGTCCCAATTTCAAACAATGACATTACTACTTTCCTTATTGCTAACAATGCTCTCTTGTCCCACTTTCTAACAATGTTACATACTATACGTCTAACACTGCTACTTGCCATGATGCCTTTTCCGACTTTCTAACAATGTCACATGCCTTAATTGTAACACTGCCACTTGCCTTATTGCTAACAATGCTCTCTTGTCCCACATTCAAACAATGACATGCTTTAATTCTAGTACTACTACTTGCCTTATTCCTAACAATGCTCTCTTTCCCACTTTCTAACAATATTACATACCGTACGTCTAACACTGCTACTTGCCATATAGCTTACAATGATCTATTATTCCACTTCCTAACAATGTTAAAAGCGTTAATTGTAATACTGCCAATTGCCTTATTCCTAACAATGCTCTCTTGTTCTACTTCCAAACAATGTTACATGCCTTAATTCTAGCACTACTACTTGCCTTACTGCTTACAATGCTTTCTTGTCCCACTTTCTAACAATTTTCTTTTAACTCTTTCTAACAATGCTACTTGTCTTACTTCATTAGTTATGACACTAAAGTGTTTTTCCTTTAACTGTCTGACCTTTTTCTGATTTTACATCACAATTGAATATGAAACGTTTTAGCACTTTTTATAATAAACAAATGAGTGAAACCCACAGTTAAACCTTAATCAGGAATGACGTCATGTTCGTTAATCAACTACGCATAATTTAACCTCAGTAAATCTACATAATTTAATTAATTACATTTACTGAAAATTAAAAATGACGTATCTAAAACAAACATACTCTGGACTGAAGTCCTTAGATTCCATCCATTCCTGTACTTCAGCTGGACTGGATTCAGCTGTTATATACAACCCATCCCAGTGGTTTAAATTAACTTTCCCCCACTTTCTGTGGGCATTATGGCCTAGAGTCACCTGGTCCGTGAGTTCTTTCTTCAGTCGGTTATGAGCATCTTTGGGCACTGAGACGTTTCTATTCTTCACAATCAGAGCTACATCAGAGAATATATTATAATTACCATAAAAAGGCTTAGCTCTGAAATAAGCAAACTGTTTTTCTTGCCATTTCCATTTCAGCTGCCTAGGATTTAGAAGTGGATTAAATGTGAGGGGCAACAAATAAAACTTTGAACTTACGTTTCAATGGTTGCGTAATAGGTGTAGGGGGGAGAGGCGGAGGTGTAGGTGGTTGCACTTTGTTGTTCTGATGTACCGGCGTTGGAGATTTGGTTTTCTTTTTATGGATTTTCACACCATCTATGCAGAAGAATAGTGAGAAGTTAATTAACATTCGTTACCAAACACAGTAGGAAAAAAATCTAATCATGTAGTTAAAGTGACAAGGGCAGTGCAAGAACATTCTGGGTGAATGTGACACTTAAGTTTAAACATGTTTAAAACATGACACATTTAAACGTTTGATGCCGAACTTACTAACATAACACGTATATATATATATATATATATTTATATAAGTTCAAATTTACCCTAATCTAAAGTATTTAGAACGAAAAATTCATTCAATTGTTTTTCAGCTTTAATGGCATATTATATATATATATATATATACCATAACAACTACTAGTATCTCGTTGTGATTAAACATAACAGAATAACAGAATTTGTAAACACTGAGCTAAAGTTAGGTCACTCAATCCTAAATCAAAGAAAAATTAATGAAAATATTACGAGTAATATGTCACACAAGAATCGATGTTATTTCAATTAGTGATAATAAACTTAAATTCTCCATCAACATGCTCGTTCTTGCAGCCGTGGGGCGTTATAATGTGACGATCAAACGTCCCACTTTTCTTTACTAAAAAGAGTTGCCCAGGAGTTGGCGGTAAGTGGTGTTGACTAACTGCCTTCCCTCTAGTCTGTCACTGTTAAATTATGGATGGCTAGCGCAGAAAGCCCTCCAGTAGTTTTGCACGAAATTCAAACCAAACCAAACTTAACAATACTGGAAATGATCTAATAACGGGTTTTCTAGGTTACCAATTCTAATTCTACCGAAGAATGAATGTGGGCTTCATTCACGAAACTCACGAACCAAATCAACAGCCAAGAAGTTTGTTATCATCAACTGAACTAAACACAATTCCGGTATTGTTAAGTGTGTTATCATCAACTGAACTAAACACAATTCCGGTATTGTTAAGTGTGTTATCATCAACTGAACTAAACACGATTCCAGTATTGTAAAGTTTGTTATCATCAACTGAACTAAACACGATTCCAGTATTGTAAAGTTTGTTATCATCAACTGAACTAAACACGATTCCAGTATTGTTAAGTTTGTTATCATCAACTGAACTAAACACGATTCCAATATCCTTAAGTTTGTTATCATCAACTGAACTAAACACGATTCCAATATCCTTAAGTTTGTTACTTCCAACTGAACTAAACACGATTCCAGTATTGTTAAGTTTGTTATCATCAACTGAACTAAAATCGAATCCAGTGTTGTTAAGTTTGTTATCACTAACTGAACTTAACACGATTCCAGTATTGTTAAGTTTGTTACCATCAACTGAACTAAAAACGATTCCAGTATTGTTAAGTTTGTTACCATCAGCTGAACTAAAAACGATCCCAGTGTTGTTAAGTTTGTTATCATCAACGGAACTAAACACGATTCTGGTATTGTTAAGTTTGTTATCATCAACTGAACTAAACACGATTCCAGTGTTGTTAAGTTTGTTATCGCCAACTGAACTAAACACGATTTCAGTATTCTTAAGTTTGTTATCATCAACTGAACTAAACACGATTCCAATATTGTTAAGTTTGTTATCATCAACTGAACTAAATACGATTCCGGTATTGTTAAGTTTGTTATTTCCAACTGAACTAAACACG